CAAATGAGGCCAAGTCGGAAGAGGAACCTTTAGCATCTTCACCACAGTATGCCCAGTCAGCATCCCATAGTGCTCTGCAGGATGCTCGAGCAAATAAGGTGAAGTTGGGAGAGGAACCTTTAGCATCTTCACCACAGTATGCATGTCATTTCAACCTTTTCTTGGAAGACTCTGCAGACAATGGACAAAATCTTTCCCGTCAATCTTTGGAGCATGTTGAGAAAGAAAACAGCTTGTGTAGTTCAGCAGCTAATTCTAGAGCAGAGTTTGTGCATAACAACAAAGCATGTCTCAGTTTGGATTTTTCTGAGAAAGATGATGAACCAGAAGAAGTAATAGTTAATGTGAAAATCAGAAGTAAAGCTAGAAGGATTGTTTCAGATGGTGAAGATGAAGATAATTCTTTTAAAGATATTTCAAGCACAAATCCATTCAACACATCTCTCTTTCCATTCTCATCTGTGAAACAATTTGATGCTTCAACTCCCAAAAATGACATCAGTCCACCTCAAAGGTTTTTTTCACCTAAAATAGCTGACAGTGGAAACAAGACTATAAACTCTAGACGATCTCTGGCTTCTAGGAGGTCTCTTATCAACGTGGTTTTAGACCATGTGGAGGATATGGAGGAAAGACTTGACAACAGCAGTGAAGAAACAGGCATTGACGATTATCTGGAAGAAAGAGCAGAGGAAAGCAGTGGAGAAGCCTCAGAGTACACAGAAGAGGATCCTTCCAGAGAAAAGCTGTCTTCAGAAAATAAGTCCAGCTGGTTAACTACATCTCTAGCTCAGGAAACCTCAACTGGTGACCCTGAGCCTTTGTCTGGTAAACAGTTGGTTGATTCTCCTCAGGATAAGGCAGTGGAGGATGCGAATGAGTATGAGGCTCTTGTAATGCGTGGGAAAGAACTGCAAGAGTGTGGAAAAATACAAGAAGCCCTAAACTGCTTAGTTAAAGCACTTGACATAAAAAGCGCAGATCCTGAAGTCATGCTCATGACTTTAAGTTTGTATAAGCAACTTAATAAAACTTGAGAATATGACCTGTTTACTGCATTTTAAAGTGAAACTGAGTATGGGGTAATTTGTGTTTCTCTAATTGGATTCTTTGGGAACATCGCTTAAGCGAGAGGGAGCTCAAAAGAGCACATTTTTGTTTCTCTTTTGTAAATTCTGTATTTATCCCTCCCACCCCCAGAATACATACATACTGGTATTCTCAGCACTAGGTTAGTATTTCTTCACTCAGCTATTCTTATATATTTCTTTTAGGCATATGCAATAAACTTAATAGAACTATGTTATTTCTAGAAAGGTTTTTGTAAAAATATTCTGGCCATTCTTAATTTTACTCTGAAAGTGATTGATTGCCTTTGTATATCACACTTCAGATAACAAAATTAAAGTTACTTTTTCAAGTATTTTTTTCCGTTCATTTTCTTTCATTGAGATGATACTGGCAAATGCATATGGAAACTCCTTACTTCTTTAGGAGTTTGTCATTCCAAATCTAAGACATGCTTTTAGCATGGTATTTTATGTTTTCAGCTTAATATAGCAGAAGGCTGGGGTAAGGTACCTGGTGCTAGGATTTGTTATCACTGGCACCCTGCCCTGGCTAAAGTCACTTTGCTGATCACTTAGCAATTGTCCAAACCATGCATCTTCTTGTCTATTTTGATACCAGCTATCACTTTATATCTTTGTAGACTGAAATGGAGTTTGGTACCCTTTCAGAAACATCATGTGCAGTATAGTACTCTGTCATCGGAAAAGGGGAACTGTTATTTTGAGTATCTACTGTGTATTGGGTAGAGTGTCGGGTGCTCTACATAGGTTTCTCATTTAATCCTCACCATAATCCTTTGAGGTAGAGGGTGGCATTTCCATTTTTTACTTTAGGAAACTGAGGCTAATGAAAAGCCACTACAATAGACAGACACATATAAAAGTTACTTGTAAATTATATGTATATATACACACACACACACATCTTATATATATTACAAAATATGCACAGCAATTTGAAAGAGGTGAGCTAAAATTTAAATGGGTTTTAAAAATTTATTTTGTTGTTGAGAATATACACAGCAAAACATACACCAATTCAACAGTTTCTACATTATACAATTCAGTGACGTTGATTACATTGAGTCCTGCAGCCATTCTCACCCTCCTTTTCTGAGTTGTTCCTCCCCCATTAACATAAACTTTGTGTCCCCTAAGGTTCCTATCTAATCTTTTGAGTTGCTGTTGTCAATTTAATCCCATGTAGATAGATCTTACAGAGCACAATGCTCAAGGCAGACAGTCTTTACTAGTTAAGCTAAACTATTGTTTTAAGACTTCTTCAGGGGATATTTTTGGTTTAAGGTTTAAAGATTATCTCAGGGCAATAGTTTCAAGGGGTTCATCCAGCCCCCATGGCTCCAGAAACTCTAGAGTCCATGAGAGTTTGAAATTCTGCTTTGCATTTTCCCCCTTTTCATCAGGATTCTTCTACAGAGTCTTTAATCAAAATGTTCAGTAATGGTAGCCAAGCACCATCCAGTTCTCCTGGTCTCATGGCAAAGGAGGCAGTTGTTCATGGAGGCAATCAGCCACACATTCCATCACCTCCTCCTATTCCTGACTCTCCTGCTTCCTCTGTTGCCCCAGCTGAGTAGAGACCAATTGTGCCTTGGATGGCCACTTGCAAGCTTTTAAGAAGTCAAACAAACACTGCGCAACGAACTGGGAGGTAGAATAGAAGTACTAGACACGTTATTAGGCCAATTAACTGGGAAATAATAGGTTTTTATTGATGGTACAAAAGTTTGCTCTTAGTAAAAGGAATTATTACTAATATTTTAGGGAGGGTAATGTGATCAAATATATATTGTTAGTTTTGAAAATCTTGGTGTAGCATTTTGTGATTCAGCAATTCACAGGTCTGCATCCAAGTCCAGCTAATTATTTCCCTTTGTGGAATGAATGGCCGTTGTAATCCAAGTAGAGAGAATGCATTGTTGGCTACGTCCTACATCTTTGGTTTTCAGTCCCTTGCACAAATCATACAAATGTTTGTTGAAATTAAGCTAATAAATTTATTTTTCCCTGATGTCAAAAAAAAAAAAAAAAAAAAGGCCACTACACGATTTATTTGCTTGCCAGGGGGCTTTAGGGAACTATACCCATGTGATCTGAACCAGTGAGGCTTAAGTTCTAAGTGTATTTCTCACTGAAAAAACAGAATGCTCTTTCTGTTTGAGTGTGTACTATGACTGTTTTTATTTTGGGGGAAAAAAAAGATGCACATGATAAAATATTTAAACAGTACCTAAGGCAGGGATTTTTAACCTGGGGTTCTCGGATAGAATTCAGGGTATCTATGAATTTGGATGGGAAAAAAATTACATCTTTTTCTCCCACTATCCTGTATCTACCCATTGCCGTCGAGTTGACTGGTTAAGAGCTACAGTGAGCTATGGCTGCTAACTAAAAGGTTGTCAGTTTGAATCCACCAGCCGCTCCCTGGAAACCCTATGGGGCAGTTCTGTTCTGTCCTATAGGGTCACTATGAGTCAGAATCGACTTGACGGCAACGGATTTGGTTTGGTTTTTGGTATCCTGTATCTGGAATTTAACTTTTCCTTTAATTGTGAATATAGGCTACAAACTTCAATAGTATCAGCAGTACCTGTGACTTTGTCACCAATAGAAATCACACAGATTTCGCAGTTACTGCAGATACCTCAATACCATTTACATTCATGATTATAAAATCAGTGGTTATTAGACCTGCCACTAGATCTCATTATTAATGAAGCATATATATTAATAAAATGTAAAACTATTTGATTATGCTACTTCAGTATAACTGGATTCCTTTATAATCCTATGTTTTTATTGTATGCATTTATAAACAGCATTCTGAGAAGGGACCCATAAGCTTAGACAAACTGCCAAAGGTCTCCATGGCACAAAAAGACTAAGACCCCTGATCTAAGGCTATAAGGTAAAAAGTCTCTTACCTGCCCCTGCCTCCCCAGTTTTGGGCTGCCCTTCCCAGAGACAGTCTATGTATGTACAAGCAAAAGCATATATATTTATTTATATGTTTTTACCCAAGTGATAGTGTGCTACATACACTGTTCTGTACTTTGCTTTTTATTTTAACACACCTACATGATATTCTATTGAATGGATGCACGATAATGTATCATCTATTGATGGACATTCCTTTTTTTTCTCTAATAATGCTGTAACAAATATCTTTGTACCTTTTATAAAAGTGTGATTATAAGATAAATTCCTAGAAATGGAGTTGCCGTATCAAAGGGTATGTATATAATTTTGATAGGTTGCCAAATTATTCTCCATAGAGGTTATAACTTCCATTATCACCATTAATAAGAGTGCCTGTTTTCCCATACCTTCACCAACAATATATTAAACCTTTTGAACTTTGCCAATCTGATAGGTAAAAGTGGTATCTCATTTTGGTTTCAATTTGCAATTTTACTATAAATGAGGTTTGTTCCTTAAACATTGAACTTAATGAAAAAGATGCTGTTTCAAAGCAGAATGTGTACGTGTATCCACAGTAATCCTTAATTTGTTCCTTTATCAACTCTTTCAGAATCTTAGTCACCAGTCAAAAACTAACTTCCCCAAGGTTTGCCGGGTATCAAAGGCCCGTCCCTGCCCTAATTTCTCAGAGGCGAGTTATAGCTGCTCTCTTACCATGCCACAGAATGTAGTTTATTTTTTCTAGTCTACCCTTCCAGCACTCCAGCTTCCTTTCTTTATGGGTGACATCCATGGAACAGGCATTCAAGTAGTAATCCTGGGTAAGCCAGTGTTCTGAGCAAGGACTCCAGTTAGGTAGTGTCTCATGCATATAAAGCTTTGCAGAATTCTCCCCAAGATTTTCAGAATTTGTATACCTTATTTAGAGACATTATTTTGAACATGTTTTTTAAAGTAATTTCATAATTACTTTTATACCTACTATTTAGAACATTTCTGTATCATACTGGCATATCTGTGTACCCCTAGGAACAGGATATCCTTTAGTCTGCTCAGTGGGGAAAATCTCATGGAGGCTGGAGGGAGAGGCAAGATGGCAGTGTAAGCAGTTGCTCCCCACATCCCCCTACAACTAAGCCAGTGAACAACAAATAAAAAATTAGCACAGATAGAGATTTTGTAGTTCCAGACAGCAGTTGAAGTGTTGGAGAACCAAGGTAAGACCCGAATCAGGAGAGAGAAAGCAGCCGCAGCCACAGCGGAAAGGCTGAGATTTGCTGGCTGCTGGCATCTTACCTGCTGGTTCAGCTTACTGTGGCCATTTTAGCATGTGGACAGGCAACACCCTTGAACAAAGAACCCAAGACAGTATCTACACTGAGGACAAAGACTGGCACAGAGATACTAGGTAAACAGCCTTGGTAAGGGGTGGGATGCCTTCTTGGTTGGGATAGAACTGAGAGACAGTGGCATAATGGCAGAACATGGATTTGAAATCTGAGAAAGTAAGGAAAGTACAGTCTGATTAAAGTGGGACAGACTGGCTTTGGGAATTCACAAGCAGGGAAGCCCAAGTGCGTGCTTGGGGAGGGGCACAGGGAAGTTAAAATGCTACGGGTGCTACTGAGTCTCGCTGAGACCAGAGGTGGGAGGATACTAGGACTCAACCCACAGAAGAGTCACGGGACCCACCTGTAGGCCAGGACAAGAAAAGTACCTCAAACAGGCAACCCAGCAGGAACCAACTGGCTCCCTACCTAACAACCAGGAACCATGGGAGAGCCTGCTTAGGGCTGCCTGTGTGGTAAGGACACAAAGCACTACCCCCAACCTACCTTGGGAAAGCCACACCCCAACCCTTCCAACACTTGTCCAGCTTGAAAAGTCCTGTGCCTGTGCAGCCACAGAGGAAAAGCCACACCCTACCCCCACAGATAAATGTGAGGGAATCCCATCCCAGTGTTGCAGTCCTCTTGGAAAGGGCACACCCAACTGTGCAAACCTCAGTGGGAACCTCACACCCCAGTAACATCAGCTACCTTGGGGAAAACAACCCAGAGTTGGCACCCAGAAACGTAAAATTTTACTAAATGTGTAAAACCTGTGAGGCCAGAGTAGAACCCTATATTAACAGCAACAGTAAAGAAAATTCCTCAGACCTCACCACAGAAAGACTGAGTCAGCACTGGAAAAACCAAAGGGCCAGAATAACCCCTAGTGGAACTTAGGGAAAGAAGGTGGAATTAAAGTATAAAAAAAAAAATTCCTGGAAATACAGAAAATTCTGAGTTCCAGATTATCACATTAAGATTAAAATGCCCCATGTTCAACAAAAATTTATAAAGCATGCATGATCACAGGAGAAGGTGTCCCAATCCAACGAAAACCATGAAGCAGCAGAAATTTCTCTGATGGAGACCAGGTTAAGGGA